TACACTTATCTTACTCATTATATTTCTCTTTTTATTCATTATTTTTTTGATATAAATCGTAATTTAAACAATGTGATATGTAAGTAATAAAGTATGACGTCTTTTCTAGTCGTCTCAAAGTGACACCAGCTTGCCACGGGACACCCGGGGGATCCAGAGAGGGACAAAAAGGGGTATTGGTTCGGCTGTTGACAGTTAGTTAGGTTACAGTGGATATATCGGACAGGCCCGCTGAGTCTTGGTCGGTTGTCATCTCACGGCGGCCCTCGTGGCCGCCGTTTTGGTTTCTCTCTTCTCCCGCGGCTTCATGCAGGACGCCGAGCTTTCCTCAGTTGATCCTCAACTTTACCCAGGTCCTGGTGCCATGTGAGACGTACTAGGAGAGCGTCTTTTGATCCCAAACTTTGTCCTTACCACGCCTTGGCACGCCTTGCCACTCAACCCCGACTGCTTCCAACTCACTTGTTGTCTTACACGGGTTTACGACATATATATATGTCGTATATATATACGACATATATATACAGTTAAACCTGTCTATAGCGCCCCCTCTAAATAACGCCTCCCTCTTTATAGCGCACAAATTTTAAATACGTAGTACAATGCGATATTTACATTAAAAGTGACCTGTCTATAGCACCCCCTCTCTCTATAGCACCCTATTTTGGTGAGTCCCAAGAGGAGGCGCTATAGACAGGTTTAACTGTATATATACAGTAGAACCTCCCTGTAAAGGACAACACCTAATTGCAGAGACAAAGTGTCCTTTAGGGAGAGATGTCCTCTTACCAGAGAGTTGCTAAATAGTAAAAATGGTAATTTTTCAAATGAAAACTGTCCTTTGTGGAGAGGTGTCCGTTATATATACCTATATACTTGTTTATATCAAAAGAATAATGAAGAAAAGAGAAATATAAAGAGTAAGATAAGTTTATACAAAGCAATAACGCGCCATCTATACATAAAAAATAAAAGGATTTAAAAGCGCGAATGTTTCTTTTATACATAAAACGAACTTCTACTGTCCTTACTGCGATGAAAAAATATATTGGGAGGGCTTGGCTCATCAGTGGTGACCCTCCCAGCGGTTTCGCCAATTTAATCCACCAGACCGCTTCTCAGAACTCTAATACTGTATTGGATCATTCTGCTTTTATATGCTACACTGAAGGATGGAATCTTAGAAATGGTTTTCAAGTAAACTATGGACATAAGCTTATAGGACAGTAGAATTACATTCAAATATTTGCATCGAGCAATGCTCTTCAGCAAACTATAAAGACAAGGCCATTAGGGATAAATTAACACAAAGCAATAACGCGCCATCTATACATATAAAATAAAAGGATTTAAAAGCGCGAATGTTTCTTTTATACATAAAACGAACTTCTACTGTCCTTACTGCGATGAAAATTATTTCTAAGATTCCATCCTTCAGTGTAGCATATAAAAGCAGAATGATCCAATACAGTATTAGAGCTCTGAGAAGCGGTCTGGTGGATTAAATTGGCGAAATCGCTGGGAGGGTTCACCACTGATGAGCCAAGCCCTCCCAATATATTTTTTTCATCGCAGTAAGGACAGTAGAAGTTCGTTTTATGTATAAAAGAAACATTCGCGCTTTTAAATCCTTTTATTTTATATGTATAGATGGCGCGTTATTGCTTTGTGTTAATATACATAAAATGATAGAAAGTGATTTCTTGCCCCAACGCTGTCATTACGTCACTCAAGGTCACTATCCAATCCCGTCGCGCCGTGTGAGGGCTTCACGTGGTTGTTTACTTCTTGAAGTTACCGCAGTGAGGCGCTGGTTGCGAGTGAAATAGGGAAAATTTGTTAATAATTTGTTAATAACTACAAGGATATTCGAGATAGAAGCCTGAAAATTTGCCTATAAGTTTTTCCAGATTGAACTCTATATACTGTTAAAATTTCAGGCATATTAGTTACGTATTGTGGACGTGTATAGCCTACAAACATACATACATACATACATACATACATACACTAACTTATATTAAAAATAAATAAGGCATATCCTGACCAGGAGCAAACATGTTTTTCAGAAGGCAGAGCGCCATCTGGTGGAACAGAAATCAACTAAACATTGATTTAGCCTTTTCCCTGATATTTGGCCAACCTAATTTCTTGATAAATCAAGGAAAGCCATCCACGAACGCGTTTCGCGCTGTTGGCGCTCGTCAGCGTGGAGTAGGCTGTACTACTGCGACCAAAAATATGTTTGGTCCCAGGGGCTTCTTAAGAAACCAAGAAATGGGTATTTAAGGCCAAACTTGCGTGAATACGCTCAACTAACTTATATATATATACGGATGAATAAACTTTGGAATGAAAGTCAGAGACATCTATCAGAATAAATATTTGCTAGAATGAATATTTTCTTAATTCGTATATTTGTCAGTAGCAATCTCATCACAAAGTTTAATAAAGCTTCAAGTAAGCAAAATTTTGCTAGTTCAACACCTATCTTCTTCTTCTTTCTATCTCCACTCAATCATATTAGGGTATCAAGCTTGTAAAGCTCGAGATCATGACTGGGTGAAGTAGAATGCCTTTGTCATTAAGAATGGGAGCACTACTCAGTGGCAGGCCGACTTAGCTCCAAAAGAAATGGCCGCCTCTGACATAAGGAACAGACGCCATGTGCAGCCGCTCCTAACATGGAGTACAAACGCTGCTCATCCTGTATCGCTGGATATGGAGCCCTTACAAGGTACTATCAGCCGGGCCAGCTGAGCCCAGGTTTTTTTTGTGAGCTTGTTACTGCTCTCCCTCCTCCTTTTTCATCCGGGCTTGGGACCGGCAAGGGCGGAGTTTCAAAACTTATATATTATCTCAATTTATAAAAATTTCCCACTATTTCTATTATTTTTTGTTCCAGTTCATTAAGACCAAAGGTCATAATGTCAAGTAGCTCTGCAACTCCGGTCACAAGAATCTCCATGGGACACCTGTCAATCATCACTGGACTCCGGGGGGACAGGTGTGAGGGGTTCTCGGAATCTTATCTGCAAATACGGAAAACGTGACGGTGGCTGACCACTCTCATTATTATTGTCTTTACCTTGGGATAAGTTGTTCTCCCTATAAATACCTTTTGTATATAATTTTATTGGAGAACTAAAAGGTAAATACCCTTTATAATAAATTAATTATTCTCAAATTTGCCCTTGCTTTATTTATCTCCGTGACAATATCAAAGGTGTTCAATAGTAAAAAGACTATTTCTTATATTCTATGTCTCTCCCTAAAAGATTTAATATATGTCAACATATCTTAACTAAAGTTGATTTAAAAGATCAGGAAAACAACAAAACAAAAAAAGGAGCAAAGTGTCAAAAGTACCCGAATTGACTAATCCAGTAAGAAGAAAGAACGTCTAGGTCGAAAGTGCAACAATTTCATTAAGTTTTTGGTGGGAGGGAGGAATGTGCATTGTTTGCCATTGGCTGGGTATCTGATCCAATTAGGCTACGCGTCGTGGCTTGAAAGCGGGTCACGTGGTGCGATGAAATTGACACAGAAATCACGTGGTAGCGTCGCTTGTTAGCAAGGATCCAATTATGGGTCCGGGTTCGATCATTAGAGCGGTTTGTTAGGCCTTGTTGTCAAGTACGCATTAATTGGGTACTCTCGCTACCAGAGCTTCTTCGTCGCCCTTTTTTTTCTCTTTTTCTTACTCTCGTTCTCTCGTCTGGACAGGGGATTTAGAGACACCACCCCTTATTAAGAAAACCTTATAGAATCTGATAGCTAACGCCTACCACAATTACTGATATTTTGCCTTTCTGTGTTTTTTTTTTTTTTATCTTTTGTCTTCACCCATCATCTTCGCCTTCAAGGAATTATCTCTTCACAAAGAAGACTTTCAGATTTAAGGAAAATTACAAGTCTTGGTGACATTTAGAATTTACAGGATGTCACCGCTAATTATAGCTTTCTATTTAAAACTACTCGAGCAAATGTGACTTCTAACATTCAAATGACATCTTCAAGTCTTAAAATGACATCTTTCATAATTTTATAAACAAATTACAGTAGACTCTCCTATAACGCGAGTTTTAACAACGCGATAAAAAAATTGCGACAAATTTATTTATACAACGCGAATTTTCGTATAACGCGTTATAAAATAAAACAATTTAACCTAACAACATTCGCGTTATACAAGTTTTATTTCGTACAACGCGAATTCCTATAACGCGATTTCATACAACACGGAACACATTAATCGCGTTATAGGAGAGTTTACTGTTATCAAATTACAAAACTATTTTAGAGGCGTAATATTCTTTTTAAAATAAAACAATTTCTACTGTCCTTACTACAATGGAAAAATTAAAGGGAGGGCCTGGCTCATCAGTGGTGAACCCTCCCAGCGGTTTCGCCAGTTTAAGCCAGGCCCTCCCATTAATTTTTCCATTGCAGTATGGACAGTAGAAATTGTTTTATTTTAAAAAGAATATTACGCCTCTAAAATAGTTTTGTAATTTGATAACAGATGGCGCGCTAGTGCATCGTAATATAAGAGTTTACTGTATTAAATTAAGAAAGAAAAAAAAAGGATTCTCAAAGTTGTTGATGTCTTACACTATCGGAATAATTATCAACTAATCATTATTTTTTTTAATTATTACAGTAATTGGCCAAATATTTCTTGATTAATTAAGAAAATCAATCGAAATAAAGGAAATGTGAAAATGTTTAACGAACACTATAGATACAAAGCAATAACGCGTCATCTATATAATACAAAGGAAAACATCAAACCGCGAATGTTTCTTTTCACAAATAAATCAAACTTCAACTGTCCTTACTGCAATGAAAAAAAAATATTACCACTGATGAGTCAAGCCCTCCCAATATTTTTTCATCGCAGAAAGGATAGTAAGGAGAAATAACGATTATTTCTAACCTTAGGGATGATGTATGAAAGGATGAATTGTAAAGAGTAATGATAAACGGAAAAATAAAGTTGCCAGAGATGATAATTGAACCCACAGTGTTCCGCTTACCGGGCAAATGCCATGTCCACTAGACTACCTTGGACAATAAGGATAGTAGAAGTTTGATTTATTTGTGAAAAGAAACATTCGCGGTTTGGTGTTTTCATTTGAATACTATGTCATAGAAAATTACCTACATTTCTTAAAATAAGTGATAACGTGAAATTGTGTTTTTTTAACTTAGCATTTTGAAACTATGATTTCTTTCATTAGATTGATCCAATTTGTAGGTAACTTTACTGTAATACTGAAGGTTAAACTATTAATCAATAATACCTTCTTTGAAGATCTAGCTGTATAAGATTCTAATCGTTTTCTTTGTATGCAAATATCAGACTCATCTATATTGTAGGTATTATGTAAATTTAGTGTATTTTTTGTAATATATGAAATATATGTAAAATAGGTACAATATGACCCAGAATAAGTATATTGCTACGGCGTTTTATGGTTTCCACAAGTCCATATCTCAGAAGAAGGCCAAGTGACACTCACTCCTCACTTTCTTACTGCTACTCTTTTTGTGTTGTTTTTATTGCTTCCCTCTTTCTCTTTCTTGTTTTTTTTTCTTCTTTTTTTTTCTTTTTCTTCTGTCTATATCGTTATTTCCTTTGCCTCACTGCTTTGTTCTTATGCATACCTCTGGTGAATCCTGTATAGGGTCAGTGACCCTAAATAAAGGCTTTTTGTTGTTTGTTGTTGTAAAATAGGTTAGGATAAAAGGAAAAAATTTGATTAATAAAGGTCAGTGTGAAAGTGAGGTTGTCTCGGGAGTCTTACTGAATTTCCTTTACAGCTTGAAATTGTCTCCACGTGGGAGACTGGTCCCTCAATATCTGATTTTAAGGGCGCCTAGGGCAGACATCCCTTACCACGCCAACGCTAGCTAAACATCATGAAAGATGATTTAAATTTTTAAAAATAAACCGTCAGTTAATTAATTTGAAAACATTTCTTTAAATTAAAAGATACTTTGGCTAGACAATGTATTTATTCTCTTGGCGTTTCGATAAAAATATTTTGTCCTCGTTGATATGTTTCTATTATAAGTTGAAGATTAATAGTGAAAGTTATAAGAAATTGCACCTTATATATTTAGATATCTTTAAAAGATAAATGAACACCATTTTTATGCTACTGTAATTATTTTATTCTTTCACAATTCTTACACAGATGCACATTATATCACAAGCCTTTGTTATCTACAAGATGATGATAAAAATGTTCGATTCGTTTCGAATCAAAACAGAGTAAAATAATAATATATCACTGATATATTATCTTTAAACAAAACAGATCAGATCACTCGTCAGGAAAATATCAAAATTAAAGAATTTAGCAAGATATTATGAATGTATGCAATGGATACATTTATAATGCTTTGCCAAATGCTTTAATTTTTATTCTTTCCTGATGAGGACAATTGATTTTTAATAGGCTAATCCTTTAATAGAATGTTCAAATCTAAAAGCTTGAGGGATGAGTTTCTTTTGCAAATAAATTTATTTCGAGCTTTCGGGCAACGCCCTTCTACAGGAATATTAAAAATAAAGTAAATTAAATTATATTACACTGAGATTAAGCGAGGCAAATGTATAACAAACTATAGAAATAAATATTTAAAATAAATATATTTTCTATAGTTTGTTATACATTTGCCTCGCTTAATCTCAGTGTAATATAATTTAATTTACTTTATTTTTAATTTTCCTGTAGAAGGGCGTTGCCCGAGAGCTCGAAATAAATTTATTTGCAAAAGAAACTCATCCCTCAAGCTTTTAGATTTGAACACAATAGATTTTTATCGAAACGTCGAGAGAATTAAAACATTTAGTAGCATATGTGTCTTTTAATTTTAAAGAAATGTAAATGCCGGCCAGGCAACTTAATAAATTAATCATAATAAAAAGAAAAAAAAAGTAAGAAAGAAAAACCGTTTGTGTATCACGTTTATGTAAACAATTAAAATAAAAACTCGCGTTGCGCCGCTAGGGGGAGTGTTGGATTATCATCCGCCCTATCATATTGTTACGCAGAAATAAAAGCACATTCCAGAATGGAGAGAGAATGTTCTAGAACGTTTAAGAATAACGTAGAAAAATCAGAGAAAAACTGATTGGTCAATCTAAAGCGATTGCGCAAGGCTTAGCGCTGACGACTTTCTGATTGGCTGACCAACCATGACCGTTCTGGATACTTCGGGATATATAGGGATGTGTAATTCATGCCGGAGGGAAGAAAGATAAGAAGTGAGAAGAAGAACAAAGCTACGTGGTGGACTTCAAGCAAGCTGCTGTCTCAAGAGGTCGGATTGCTGCTTACCGCCGGTGTACTTCCTGGAAGATTCTAGAAAGTTCTACCAACTTCTGTCTCCTATTCTGCTCCCACTTTACTTCACCGTGCTGCAGTAAGTGAGTTTGTAACTGCTGTTTTCTTTATTGTTGGTTTATTTTGTATTCTTCTGTAATTATTTTATTTATTAGGCTTAAATAAAGTCCTAAAGATCCTTTGTACCCACGGAAGTTATTCTTTGTCAACCAACAACGCAACAATTTATCTCGATGCTGTGTAAATAATATAATTATTTTTGTTTAATTTATCTTTAATTATTGTAATAATTAACTAAGAGTATTAATAAAGTATTTTTAAACTGTCAATTGTCTTTAGAACAATTATATTATGATGCATTTGCGCGCCATCTATTATGAAAATTAGAAACTATTATAGACACGTATAATTCTTTTAAAAAGTAAACAAAATCTACTGTTCTAATTGCAATGGAAACATTAATGGGAGGGTTCACCACTAATAACCCAGGCCCTTCTATTAATGTTTCCATTGTAGATTATACTATATTCAAGATTATAGAATGAAGAATGAACTAGTTGTTTGTGAACTTAACGATTTAATTTCCGATAAAAAAAATCATATTTATAGTTCAATTCATTTTGTAAATACATTTGAAACTTTCTACAAAATCTGGATCTCTAGTGTTTTCATGCGTTGAATAATGTAAATAACTTATGTAAATAAACTTTTCTCCTTGTTTGGCGCAAGTATCCCTCGCGGGATATAGCGCTTTGGAAATAAAATATTTGTAATTGGTAGTAAGGTCAGTATAGATTTATTTCAACCCACAAAACGCGATATCTCAGGTTGTAATAATTGCGTCGATTTACATTTTTTTTAAAAAACAGAAACAGTTATAAACATATCTATATATATATAATTGAATGTCTGTCTGTCTGTCTGTTTGTCTGTACTCTATAGATTCAAAAACCATACATCCAATCGCCGTGAAATTTTGGGATATTATTAGGTATATCACCGGGAAGGTTTTTGAAAAACAATTTCCTGAATATCTTGAATATCCTTAGAGTTATTTGCAGATTTGTAGATTTAACTCGCAAGCAGCGCCCCCATTGTGGCGATGATAACAAGTTTTCTTATCACTAAGAGTGTTATCTTAAATATTATTTATCAAAAGTAAGATTATCTCAGGATGACACGGCAATGTGACACGGGAAAAAATGTTCACTAGATAAAACTATGATTTTCTAATGTAGAAAATTAGGAAAGACAAAATTCAGGATGACACGGCACACAGGGACCGGGAAAAAATGTTCACTTTATCGAGAGATTCAAATTTACGAGTTTCAAATTATCAAAATATATATATTTTTAAATAAGTTTTTAGAGAATTGTTTTAACAAATGTTCGCTAGACAAACCTTTACTCGGGTAAAACCCCGGGCGAAGCCAAGTACGTTTTATAAGTTTATAGAGAATTGTTTTAACAAATGTTCGTTAGACAAACATTCACTCGGTAAAACCCGGGCGAAGCCGGGCACATCCGCTAGTTATACAATAAAAAGTAATCGAAATAAAAAGAGAATCAATAATATATATTAGGAACCTGAACCTTTCAGGTTTGAAAGATAATCACAAATATATTTACAGAAATAGTTAAATCTATGATAATTCTCTCTGCTATTTACAAATTGATATAGATCTACAACATTGTTTATTGTTTGTTGTAAGTAAATATTGTTTATTTTTGAAAGAATCCTACGCATCTATAATAGTTTCGAATTTTCATGTAAATTATATAACTACATAATTCAATCTGATAAAAAAGAGTGAAATTGTTGATCTTAAATAAGAAAAAGACGATATGAAAGAAGTAATAGAGATATGTAATGTAAGGAAGCCCAAGTTACAACCAAGCCACTATCAATCATCCACCAACTGCGTTAATTGGAACCCAACCTTTGAACAACGCTTTCCAAAATGGCTGCCTCATTTTTCTCCAAATGGAGCGCCCGGGGGTTGTCGATTATTGTAGTACCATAATTTATAGACGGTCCCCTTATTACGAGTACGGGCTAATAGCCGTCGCGCCCCCCAGGCTAATTTTTAATCAATAGCATCCAATCGGCCATGTAATGGCCCAGCGATAAACCGACTTCCATTATTTCGATCTGCCCCTCCTTTTTACGTGATTTGCCACCTTGATGGCAGTTTAGCCGCTTTCTAAATGCCTGTTAAAGCCATTTCCCTCACTACCTTACTGGGGAGATACCCCGGTAATTTCTCTTCTTTTTCTCTCTCTGTAGGCATAGCTCTTCGGTGTCGTTTTTCTATCCCGAGGCAATGAAATTTACTAGTGTAGCGAACTCCGCCTTTGCCGGTCCCAAACCCGGATAAAAAATGAGGAGGGAGAGCAGTAACAAACTCACTAAATTCATTCATAATAATACTAATAATCAACAAGCTATACATGAAACAGAAGTGGGGCCTATTCAATTCATAAGCAGATAACAAGTTCGCTAAAAAACCTGGGCTCAGCTGGCCATGCTGATAGTACCCTGTAAGGTCTCCTAATCCAGGGATACAGGATGAGCAGCGTTTGTACTCCATGTTAGAAGCGGCTGCACATGGCATCTGTTCCTCATGTCAGAGGCGGCCATTTCTTTAAAGCTAAGTTGGCCTGCCACTGAGTAGTGCTCCCAGCCTTAATGACAAAGGCATTCTACTTCACCCA